GGTTATATGTTGTTGTTGTTGTTTATTTATTCAGTAGCTTCCGACTCTTTGTGACCTTATGGACCAGCCCATGCCAGAGCTCCCTGTCAGCCGTCACCACCTCCAGCTCCTTCAGAGTCAAGCCAGTCACTTCAAGGATACCATCCATCCATCTTGCCCTTGGTCGCCCCCTCTTCCTTTTTCCTTCCATTTTCTCCAGCATCATTGTCTTCACTAGGCTTTCCTGTCTTCTCATGATGTGGCCAAAGTACTTCATCTTTGCCTCTAATATCCTTTCCTCCAATGAGCAGTCGGGCTTTATTTCCTGAAGTATGGACTGGTTGGATCTTCTCGTGGTCCAAGGCACTCTCAGAATTTTCCTCCAAAACGCAGTTCAAAAGCATCTATCTTTCTTTGCTCAGTCTTCCTCATGGTCCAGCTCTCACATCCATAGGTTACTACAGGGAACACCATTGCTTTAACTATGTGGATCTTCGTTGCCAGGGTGATGTCTCTACTCTTCATGATTTTATCAAGATTGGCCATTGGTTATACACCTGTGGAATGTCCAGGGTGGAAGAAAGAACTCTTGTCTGTTGAGGCAAGTGTGAATGTTGCAAATGGCCACCTTGAATAGCATTTAATGGCATCGCAGCCTCAAAGCCCCACTGGTTGCTGCCTGGGGGAATACTTTGTTGGGAGGTGTTAGCTTGGGAGATGTTAGCTGATTGATTCTTGTCTGGCATTCCCCTGCTTTTTGAGTGTTGCTCTTTATTTACTGCCCTGATTTCAGAGGGTTTTTTTAAAAATACTGGTAGCCAGATTTTGTTGGTTTTCATGGTTTCCTCCTTTCTGTTGAAATTATCCACATGCTTGTGGATGTCAATGGCTTTTCTGTGTAGTCTGACATGGTAGACTACACAAAGTAACAAAGGATTCTCCCAGGTAGGAAGCAGTCAGGCTTTGAAGCTGCAAGGTCATTAAATGCTAATCAAGGAGGCCATTTGCAACATTCATACTTGCCTCAAGCAGACAAGAGTTCTTTCTTCCACCCTGGACATTCCGCAGATATATAAACTTCACTTGCCCAGTTTCCAACAGACCCTCCAACCTCTGAGGATATCTGCCAAAGATGTGAGCGAAACGTCAGGAAATAAGGCTTCTGGAACATGGCCATAATAATAATAATAATAATAATAATAATAATAATAATGGCAGCAGCACTTTCTGCCACATATGCCAGATAACAACGTGGTAGGCTTTAACTACTGTTTGGGTGGCTTGTGAAGAGTTGTTTTATTAGTTTCTTCTTGCAGCTTGCATGGGAGAAGGTCCAAAAGCAAAATGGCAACTTGTTGAAAAGTGCAATCTTTCGGAGCAATCTTTCAGAGGACATTCTACTAATGATATCCATGTAGGCGGGAGTTGTGTCTGACCATATCGGGAGCCATTCTGAGGGGTGAGAGTGAATCACTCAGGAAGGAGAGTGCCATGTGGAAGCATCCGAGGCCACACCACGTTGCCAACCGTTTCGCCAGAAGGATATTTTGGACACAGTCCAAGACCGTCATTTCCTCACAGTCGAGGGCAGGCTGTCATCTCTTGGAGGAGGCCCACACATCCTTAATTAAAACACAGGGAACGGCACTCGATCCTGCTAATTAGGTTTGGAGGATGTCTTCTGTTTGAAGGGGATGCCTCATTCCCCAGAATAGTGCAGCAGTGACTTCACCGGAGGGAATCCACCTCCTTTCCTTTTGGAACCCCACGAGTCCCTTAGAGCTGCAGGAAGAGAAATGAGTTCTCCATTGGGTAACCCTCGTCTCATTCATAAATCCTGTGGTCGACAGGAATAAAGATGATAAATATGTCACACTCGGTGAGGATTTTAATACATTTAGCGCTTCACGGGGGGAGGGAAGATGTGCAACAGACTGCACCAGGAAAATAAAATATGGGAAGGGAAAGATTTGTAAAAAGCAGTGAAGGGGGGGGGGGGCAGATAAGAAGGGGATGCATAACAGAGAGAACCAGGAAGAAAAGGAGGAATATTGACGAGAAGCATAAAAAGGACCAGGAAAAAGGGAGCATATTGGTGAAAAGCACAAAATGAGGGGAGGGAAATGGATAGGAGAGAACGTATAACAGACTGAACCAGAAAAAAAAGGGAGGCGGGAATACTGGTGAAAAGCACAAAAGAGGGGGACAGAGACATGCATAAAAGACTGGACCAGAGGGGAAAAGGAGGGATATTAGTGAAAAGCATGGAATGTTGGTGGGGGGGACAAATAAGGGGGAAGGGGGAGATTATAACAGACTGGAACGGGGGAATAGGGGGGAATATTGATGAAAAATCCTGAAACGGGCTAATAATTGGGGGGGGGGGGGCAGTGAACCACGAAAAGAGGATGTTTGGTTACTGTGAGTTTTCAAGGCTGTATAGCCATGTTCCAGTAGCATTCTCTCCTGACGTTTCACCCACATCTATGGCAGGCATCCTCAAAGATTGTGAGGTATATTGGAAACTAGACAAGGGAGGTTTATATATCTGTGGAAGGTCCAGGGTGGGAGAAAGAACTCATGTCTGTTGGAGGCAAGAGTGAATGTTGTAATTAATCACCTTGATTAGCACTGAAAAGCCTTGCAGCTTCAAAGCTTGGCTGGTTGCCCCTGGGGGAATTCTTTATTGGGAGATGTTAGCTGGCCCTGATTGTTTCTTTTCTGGAATTCCTCTGTTTTTGAGTGACGTATTTTTCTTTACTGTCCCAATTTTAGAGTTTTTTTAATACTGGTAGCCAGATGTTGTTCATTTTCATGGTTTCCTCCTTTCTGCTGAAAATGTCCACATGCTTGTGGATTCAGTGGCTTTTGTGTAGCGTGACATGGTGGTTGTTAGAGTGGTCCAGTATTTTTGTGTTCTCAAATAATATGCTGTGTCCAAGTTGGTTCATCAGGTGCTCTGTTATGGCTGACTTCTGAAGTAATCTGTAGTACTTCTGACTTCTGAAGTAATCTGTAGTGCCTCGCATATTCCCTCATAGCTTCCAACCCAGGATTCCCCCATAGAATCAGTAGAATGTTATCCATCAGTCCTGCTTGGAGATAGAATCATAGAATCAAAGAGTTGGACGAGACCTCATGGGCCATCCAGTCCAACTCCTGGCCAAGAAGCAGGAAAATTGCATTCAAAGCACCCCCGACAGATGGCCATCCAGCCTCTGCTTAAAAGCCTCCAAAGAAGGATCCTCCACCACACTCCCTCTGGAGCAGAGTTCCACTGCTGAACAGCTCTCACAGTCAGGAAGTTCTTCCTAATGTTCAGATGGAATCTCCTTTCTTGTAGTTTGAAGCCATTGTTCCATTGCTTCCTGGTCTCCAGGGCAGCAGAAAACAAGTTTGCTCCCTCCTCCCTATGACTTCCTCTCATGTATTTATACATGGCCTTTATCATGTCTCCTCTCAGCCTTCTCTTCTGCAGGCTAAACATGCCCAGCTCTTTAAGCCGCTTCTCATAGGGCTTGTTCTCCAGACCCTTGATCCTTTTCATCGCCCTCCTCTGGACACATTCCAGCTTGTCAATATCTCCCTTCAGTTGTGGTGCCCAGATGGGAATCAGCTAGGCTCTGAAGCTGCAAGGCCATTAAATGCAAAATGCTAAACCCTTCCCTGCTCTTTCCTTCCCTTCCTCTTCTCTTTTGGAGGCAGAAAGTGAAGGAAAGACACAGGCCTTTTCGCGAACCACCATGAAAATTTCGGGGGGGGCTAAAGCCCCCCCCCCCCCCCCCCCCCCCCCACCCCCCCCCCCCCCCCCCCCCCCCCCCCCCCCCCCCCCCCCCCCCCCCCCCCCCCCCCCCCCCCCCCCCCCCCCCACCCCCCCCCCCCCCCCCCCCCCCCCCCCCCCCCCCCCCCCCCCCCGGCTACATGCCTGGAAAGACAGGAAACATTTGGATCCCAAAGGGGTTGGTCTTGGTCAGGATTTGATGTGGACAGGAGAGAAAAAGTGTATCCATTCTGTATTGCCTACTCCTGATACAGAATCCTAGAGTTGAAAAAGACCCCCAGGGGCCATCCAGTCCAACCCCCTGCCATGTAGGAAGGTACAATCAAAGCACTCCCAATAGACAGCCTCTGCGGAAAAGCCTCCAGAGAAGGAAACTCCACCACACCACGAGGCAGCCTATGCAACTCTCCAACTGCTCTTACTCTCAGGAAGTTCTTCAGTGGAATCTTTTTCCCTGCCATTTGAACCTACTGCTCCCTTGTGCCCTGGTCTCTAGAGCAGTAGAAAGTCAGTTTTCCCCCTTCTCCTCCTCCTCAGTGAGACACCCGTTAAAATCTTGAAACATGGTTCTCAGGTTCCCTCTCCACCTTCCCTTCTCCCAGCTAAACATCCCTCAGGAGGAAAGGAGGAAGGAAAAAGAGAAGGAAGGAAGGAAGAGAAGGATGGAGGGAAGGAAGGGTGGAAGGAAATGGAGAGAGGGAGGGAGGAAAGAGATGGAAAGAGAAGGAAGGAAGGTGAAAGAGAAGGAAGGGGGAAGGAAAGAGGGACTGAAGGGTGGAAAGGAAAGAAGGATGGAAGGAGAAAAAGGGAAGTAAGGAAGAGAGGGAGGGAGGGAAGAAGGAAAGAAAGAGAGAAGGAAAGAGGGATAGGATGGTGAGAGAGAGGAGAGCCCCCCCCCCACTGGGCTTGCCACATTAGTGGCAAGCATGGAAAGACCTAAGGGGAGTGCCAAGAGGGGAAATGCCTAGCGCAGAAAGGGGAGGGGGAAGGGAGATGTATAAAAGGGGAGGGGGGCATTAGGGTCAAGCATGGAGTGTGTGGGGGGGGGGGGAGAGGAGGAGAGAGACAGCTAAGGGCTGAATGCCCAGCCTAGAAGGGGATGGCGAGGAGTAAGTGTCAGAGGATGGAGAGAAAGCGTGGCTCGGACTCACCCACGTGGGGAGCGTGGCAGGAGGAAAGGGGGGCGTGAAAGAGAGAGAGAGAGGAGAAGGAGGAAGAAGAAGAAGAAAGGAAAAGGGGGAGACTAAGAGAGAGAGAGAGAGAGCGAAGGAATGCGTGTCGGAGAGGAAGGGACGAGGGAAGCCCAGAGAAAGAGCGAGGGTTGTGTGCGGTGGGAGTCAAACCCGAAGTGTGCGTGCACGCGAGAGAGGGAGGGAGGGAGGCGTGTGTGTGTGTCTCAACACTGAGGAGGGGTCTTGCGGAGGAGGAGGCGCGGAAAGGGGAGGGGGTGCAAGTCATGTCAGCATCCAGCTCGTCAGCTTGCCTCGCTTGGAGTAAAGCAGCGAGGTCCCCTGCCCCTTCACCATCGCCTTCTCCATCCTCCTCCCTCCGGGCCTCCCTTTGAAGTCACGTGCTTCACCCCCCCCTTTTCCTCCTTTCCTCCTCCTCTTCGGCAGCAGCCCCCCGAATCCCCGCGGTGGGGAATGGCCTCGGCTTCATTGTGACGCAAGCAAGGCGAGAGAGAGAGAGAGCGAGAGAGAGAGAGAGAGCCGGCGCTGGTCCCCGAGCCTCCTGGCCCGGCGCGCTCCACTCCAGCCAGACGGCAGCAGCCAGGAGCAGGAACCGAGAGGCGGAGGCAGAAGCAGCAGGAGCTCCCCGGCGGCGAGGTGAGCTCCGCTGAGTGCCACTTCTCCCTCCAGGCAAAGCAAAGCAAGGCAAGTTTTGGAAGGGACCGGGCTGGGTCGGGACTCCCGGGCGGCTCTGCTGCGGGCGCGGCTGGGCGAGGGCTCCACCGGGAGGTCTCTATAGTAACGCTGCGGCTCTACTAGACATGCGGGTCCCTGGAACAGTCCCTCGGGTTGCTGAGGGATCTCCCTCGCCTCGCCTGGTCGGGGAGCGCCTTCGCCTTTTCATGCCTTCCAGCCAAGAGGCTCTGGGGAAGTCTGGACGCCCCGAATGGGATAGAGACACCTTCGGAAACAGGGAAGAGGTGTGTCTGTCTCCCTCTCTCTCTGTCACATAAATATGTAAACAGATGGAGAAAGAGAGAGGCTTATAGGGTGTATCTATGCTGTAGGACAGGCATGGGCAAACTTGGGCCCTCCCGGTGTTTTGGACTTCAACTCCCACAATTCCTAACAGCCTCAGGCTGAGGGGGGAAAGGAAGGAGCCTGAGGCTGTTAGGAATTGTGGGAGTTGAAGTCCAAAACACCTGGAGGGCTGAAGTTTGGCCATGCCTGTTGTAGCTGTACTGAACATCTCTCTTTCTGTATCTGTGCATGTGTGTGAGAGACATACTCAGAGTACATCACACACTGCAAGAATCAATGCAGTTTGGCCCCTCTTTCACTGCCATGGCTCAATGCTGTCGAATCCTGAGGCTGTTAGGAATTGTGGGAGTTGGAATCCAAAACAATTTGAAGGCTGATTTTGAGTGGATCTACACTAGACATGGGCAAACTTCAGCCCTCCAGGTATTTTGGACTTGAACTCCCACAATTCCTAACAGCCTCAGACCCTTTCCTAAGAAACTGAGGGGTGGGGGGAGGAAGGGGCCTGAGGCTGTTAGGAATTGTGGGAGTTGGAGTCCAAAACACCTGAAGGGCTGAAGTTTGCCCATGTCTACCATAGAATGAATGCAGCATGACTCCATTTTAACTGCCATGGCACAATGTTGTGGAATACTGGGAATTGCAGTTTTACAAGGTCTTGGAATGAGAGAATCATAGAGTTGGAAGAGACCTTGTGGGCCATCCAGTCCAACCCCTTTCTGCCAAGAAGCAGGAAAATCACATTCAAAGCACCCCTGACAGATGACCATCCAGCCTCTGTTTAAAAGCCTCCAAAGAAGGAGCCTCCGCCACACTCCGTGGCAGAGAGGTCTCCTGCTGAACCGCTCTTCCTCATGTTCAGGTGGAATCACCTTTCTTGTAGTTTGAAGCTATTGCTCCTTGTCCTAGTCTCCAGGGCAGCAGAAAACAAGCTTGCTCCCTCCTCCCTGTGACTTCCTTCACATATTTATACATGGTCATCATATCTCCACTCAGCCTTCTCTTCTGAAGACTAAACATGCCCAACTCTTTAAGCCTCTCCTCATATGGTTGTTCTCCAGACCCTTGATCATTTTAGTTGCCCTCCTCTGAACACATTCCAGCTTCAATTGCAGTGCTCAGAACTGGAAACAGTATTCCAGGCATGGTCTAACCAAAGCAGAATAGAGAGGTAGCATGACTTCCCTGGAGTTAGACACCAGACTCCTATTTATGCAGGACAAACTCCCATTGGCTTTTAAAGATGTTGCTTGACATTGTTTGGCTCATGTTTAACTTGTTGTCCACGAGGACTCCAAGATCTTTTTCACACGAACTGCTGTCAAGCCAGGCGTCCCTCATTCTGTATCTTTGCATTTCATTTCTTCTGCCTCAGTGGAATATCTTACATTTATCACTGTTACAGGGTGCATCTATGCTGTAGAACAGCCCTGGGCAAACTTCAGCCCTCCAGATGTTTGGACTCTAACTCCCACAATTCCTAGCAGCTGGTAGGTTGTTAGGAATTTTGGGAGTTGGAGTCCAAAACACCTGGAGGGCCGAAGTTTGCCGAGGCCTGCTTTAAATAAATGCAGCATGGCGCCACTTTAATTGCCATGGCTCAATGCTGTGGAATCCCGGAAGTTGCAGTTTTACAAGGTCTTCTCTGCCAAAGGGTGTCATCCACACCATAGATTGACTGCAGTTTGACACTACTTGGAATTTCCGCAATGAAATACTACAGAACTCAAGGAAGTTGTAGTTTTCCAAAGTTTTTCCTGCACATAGTACATGTCTATGCTATAGAATGAACACAGCTTGACACTGCTTGAACTGACAGGGCTCAACACTATGGGGCCCTGCAGTTTCAGGAGGCACTCATGCTCTTTGGCAGAGGAAGCTGAAGAGCTTGTAAAACTACAACTCACAGGATTCGACAACATTGAGCCATGGCAGTGAAAGAGGGGCCAAACTGCATTGATTCTTGTAATGTGTAGATGCACACCGCAAATATGTCTCCCTCACACACACATGTACAGATACATACAGAAAGAGAGAGAGATTTTGAGTGCACCTACACCAGACATGGCCAAACTTCAGCCCTCCAGGTGTTTTGGACTCCAACTCCCACAATTCCTAACAGCCTCAGGCCCTTTCCTTTTTGCCCTCAGCCTGAGGCTGTTGGGAATTGTGGGAGTTGAAGTCCAAAACACCTGGAGGGCCCAAGTTTGTCCATGCCCGATCTACACTGAATTCAGTTTGACACTCTCTCACTGCCATGGCTTAATGCTGTGGAATCCTGGGATATGCAGTTTGATGTGGCACCAGCCTTCATTGGCAGAGAAGGTTTATTAAAACTACAACTCCCAGTTCCCATAGCATTAAGCCATGGCGGCATACGCGGCGTGCAACTGCTCTCATTCTACAGGGTGTGGATGCACCCCCATAGGGAGCCAGAATAGATGTGTCCTTCCCTAGTAGAGGGTCAATGTAATTCCAGAGCCCAGGCAGATCAATCACCTCCTGGGAAATAAAGTTGCGGAAGCTGCTTTGAATCACCTGTGTGTGTACTGAATCCCACCTAGAAATAAGCACCGCTTTGGAAAAGGAGGGGGAGGTGGGATGAATCTCTGCCTGATTTCAAAGGAAAATCACTCAGGTGGGAGCCCCTTTCTTCCCACCTCGAGGTGTAACTCCTGTCCCTGACATCTTCTCAGCCGCCTTTCTCTTGGGTCACCCTTGTGTCAAGAGCCTCTTTGCAGCCTCTGCTGGAATGCTGGCTTTTTCCTTTTAGCCATTTAACTTCCCATCGTTCTCTCTCTCTCTGTGATCTTTTCTTTCTTTCTTTAAGACCTGCAAGGTAGTGAGGACAGTTGAACCAGTTGCTTTTGTCAAAATGCCATGTTGTGTCTATTTATGCCTTTGAACATAAAATGGGGGAGGAAATTGGTGGCAGATATATATATATCTATCTCAACCCTAGTTTCCACAGGAAATGCTGGCATTCTTTACAGACTCTCTGTGGGCAGTGAAGAAATTGTCTTCAGAAATACACACTGTTGACAATTTCAGTGTAACTGGAGCAAAAGCCTTGAATGTTATCTTTGTTTTTTTCCTCTTGTCTTGCTTGCATGAGGGGGATGCGGTCGCCCTGCTGTTGTTTTCTGCTTGCTGGGTTTTCAAAGTGAGCAATAAAAACGTAAGCAGACTGTGGTTGACAGGTATCCATCAGAGAACCAGAAAGAATAAAAGCGAAGGAGCAGCCAGCTTTCTTAATGAAACTCGGGCTGGCTCGGAATGGCTTTATTAGTATTTTAACCATATAGCATGCATGATGTCAGTTCTCTCAAGTGCCATGGTGAGATTTGTTTCAGTGCCATTTCTCCTTGAAACATGAACCCAGTGGAAATTTCTCTTTTCAGTGCTGGGAAACATGCCTTTGAATGTTGCATATATTCAGCTTACACATTTTAGAATTTAAAGCAAAGTGGAAATAGATTTCCTTCTGTGATTAAAAAAAAGGAAAAGATGTTGGCACAAACCACCACCTCTAGTCTGGTGCCTGGTTACACTCATTTAAAACTCCATGTGTTCTGCATGTAACTAAGCAGAGATTTGCCACTTATCCAACATAAACGGAGCGGCAGAACGTTGGATAAGCAGAAATGTTGGATAATAAGGAGGCATTAAGGAAAAGCCTATTAAACATCAAATTACGTTACGATTTTACAAATTAAGCACCAAAACATCATGTTTTACAGCAAATCATCAAAAACAGCAGGGTTTTTTTTATATCAGGAGCAACTTGAGAAACTGCAAGTTGCTTCTGGTGTGAGAGAATTGGCCATCTGCAAGGACGTTGCCCAGGGTGTTTTGATGTTTTACCATCCATGTAGGAGGCTTCTCTCCTTTCCCCACATGGGGAGCCAGAGCTGACAGAGGGAGCTCATCCGCACTCTCCTTGGATTCGAACCTGCAACCTGTTGGTTTAACCCACTGCGCCACCGGCACAAGGGTTTAACCCACTGCGCCACCGGGACTCTAAGAAAAAGTAGTTCAATACATGGTAACAATATGGAGTAATTACTGTATTTACAAATTTAGCACCAAAACATCACAATGTATTTAAACAGCTGTGGATCTGGGCAGGAGGCAGACTTTGTTGGATAATACAGAATGTTGATTGAGCGAAGGTTGGATAAGCGAGACTCTACTGCATATCCCAGAGAAGTCCTACTTTCTAGATTCCACTTTAATGTGTTGCTCCTTATCTACATTGCCTGCATAGTTTAGCTCAAGGGAGTTTTCCCATTGGAGTTAAAAACCTAAGATGCTCAAAGGAATTAGCAGTGAGTGCTCAGATGAGTCAGAAAGGAGGTTGACACTATTATGCCATATTTTATGTAGCCCAGAAATTGAGTGTGATGTATCTGTCAGGCATGTTCTCAAGGACACCTAGAGTAGATTAGTTGCTGTTCAACATATTTCACTACCCTGTTGAATTCAAAAAGTGTGTCAAAGATCTAGGTCAGCTTTCTCCAACTTAGTCCCTTCCAGATGTACTGCACAATAAGTACTCTCATGCTTTAAATACAATGGTTACTGACTACATTACCAGGAATTGCTGGGATTTGTAG